GCTTCATCAGGTCGAGGAATGGTTCCATATACAAATCCAAGCTTGTTCTTCGGGCTCAGTGCCTTGATGATCGATCGAGACCACAAATTGTAGTTTCCCTCACCGATTAGCTTCTCTGTAGCTAGAATTAAGTTCGATGAGTCTCCGACATAAAGATACAACGGATTTGCATACGGATCCAGCTGAGATGATGATGAAGAACTTGCGATCGAAGGTGGATGTACAGTTCCTGTTGAAGAATCCGCCGGATTCGACATCGGAAACGATACTCCAAAGAAAAATCAAAGATGAAAACTAGAAATTACAGAGGCTCTTGATACCATTTTTCTCATTAATACATTTACCAAATTACCTCTCCTATTTCATAATATTATGCAAATTGCCCCTATTTTTTTCGAATATATATATATATGGGCCAATAAAATGCGTTTTGATAAGTATTGGGCCAATTCCAACGATACGGCCCATATCTTAAGACGTCGGTTAGGGCTGATTTCGTGTATCCCGCTCTCCTCCCCGACAAACCCCAATTTTCGATTTCGACTCAATTCATTCTCTCCAGGCCGATTCTTCCTCACCTCCTGGTAACTTGTCAATTCTATCACCTTCGTTCTTATTGCTGTCGATTTTGTTCTCTTCAAGGGTTTATGTCGACTCGTTCGACCCGTATATGTTGTTTTTTCCCCGATTTTGGAAGTGTTTCCATTCCCTGGCGAGTTATGTCTTATACCTTGCATAATATTCCAGGTTGTCTGAAGATTTGGAACAAGCCGCAACTTTTTTTTTCTCTAGTTTCCGATCATCGGTTTAGAAATTACTGGAGATGGTAGGTGTTTTCCTGGACCTTCTGTCTATGCAATTCGAAATCTCACGTTCTTTTGTTTCAATACACACAGACACGGGATGTCGTAAATTTATTAGAAGATTCTAATGATTTTGATGTTAGAGGATATGACGGGGGCACTAGAAAATTTGATGTGAATTTCTACGATTCGCCGCAGTTTCAAGATAAGGATGGAGTTTAGGTCAAAATGGAATTCCTTTTTTGATGTCATTGTAGAGTATAGTATAGGCAACAGAGGAGAATACTTGGGGAATTTAGTTCGTTCCCGTTACTATTGTTGCTTGAGAATTCATGGTGTGCAACCTTTTACAATCGAGCAGCCGTAACCATAGTGGTTTACTCCTCTATTTCGGTTTCTAGATTTCCTACTGTCCTAATGGAAATTAAATTAGAGGTTTTTGTTTGAATATTTTGGCGAGGCTAAGTAATCTTATCTGGTACCCAAATGATCATTCACTCATGCTAGGGAAACTTTCCCATGATTGGGTTTTGTGTTTTGTGCAGGCCGCTAAAATTCTTGCAAACTTGATTATCATGGGTTCCGGAATAGTAGCCAGAGCTTTTGTTCAGGCATATCGTCAGGCACTTACAAGTATGCCCTGTAACCATCATTATAATGTTCGAAAGTTCCAGAAATTTGTCTACTGGTTTACTGTTATGTTTCCAGGGGTAGGGCATTTGGCAATTTACTCATATGTTAGTGTTACTTAATGATTGGTTGCAGATGCATCAAAATCCGGTGTTGCGCATGAAGCAGTCCAGAATATTAAGAGAGGAAGCAAAGTTATGGCTGAACCAGAGGCCAGACAGGTTCTTGGTGTCACAGAGAATTCATCGTGGGAGGAAGTTGTAAAGGTGTGTGTATATATGGTATTCGTTTCTCTATGGTTATCGGAATTCGGAAAGCATAAATCATACCGTGGGTCACTGCGATTTTGCAGAAATATGACAACTTATTCGAAAGGAACGCACAAAACGGGAGCTTTTATCTGCAGTCAAAGGTTCACAGGGCCAAGGAATGCTTAGAGGTGGTTTACCAGAAGAGAGCAGAGGGGAAGAATACTGACTCATAAGTTAGAGGAGGCGATCTGCTTAAACTCTGAGGAGAAAATCTTATTCTTTGATCTCCTTCTGTTCACTGTATAGGTGTAGCAGTGTCACTTAAAACCCTAGTCTTTTGGGCATCCAAAAATAGAAACAGGGAAGGAAATGCGGCTAACTGATAAAGAGTCTACAGGTGTTTGTATGGAATTGTTGCCGTTGACTTTTTGAGAGCTTTGTGGATGGAGGTCAACGACATGTTTGATTTGATCTTTCATGTTCTTGCGTCGTGTTTCGAGTTTGTGTGTCTGTGTTCTTCTTACGAATCAAGACTTCGAGCCTTTTGTTGATTTCCTTTTTCAGTAATATTATAGATGATTAATTTAAGCAAAATGATAATACAAAGAATGAATTAAATACAATCCTCTCACCAACAATACATATACGTACATACATATATACATATATCATAAAAAACGGTATGAGAGTCAAAGGTATGTATGTGTCTTTGGGGGTCAACCCTACGACAGGAGAAGTGGATGATCGATAATGATAGAAGAAGTTGGACAAGCAACGTCGACATGCATGCCGAATCTTTTATTTAGGTCAAGCCTTTCATACTTTGTTACTTCCTGTCTTTGCACATTCCGTCTACACACTATTCTTCAGCTATTTTGTCTTCATGGGGCTCACCATCCATCACCCAAACGATGGATATAGCTTTTATCATTTTCTTAATAATAGTTTTCAAATTCAAAATTGGTACTTCAACCGTTTTCTAGTTTCAAGATAGCCCGTCTATGAATTCAGACATCTTTTTATATAAAGAAAGGCAAGAAGTGTTTTAACCAAAAAAAAAAAAAAGGACAAGAAGTGTGCCAACAACCTATATATACATATTGACGTAAAATTTTGTAACTTTTTATTGGAGGTATTTGATGAATGTTTCAATAAGTTGACGCGGACGCCTAAGCAATATATATATATATATATATATATATATATCTTCCAAATAGGTCATTTACTCATTCATTAGCCTATCTATGATCTTGTCCATTTTTTAAAATGTTTTGATAGTTCAAAGCATAATTTTAAGTATGATCCAATACCATATATGTATATAGATATACACTATAAAAATTTTGCTCATATTACGCATAGGAATGCGGTTGAATTGAATCAGAACCAACAAAAACTATCATAACATGAAAAAAGAGAAAACAAAAAAAAAAATCACAACTTTCAGCTCCAAGAAACTTGAACAAAACCAAAGGCAAAAGGACACTCAAGAGAGAGAACAAACCACAATACATATAAAGCAGGCAAAACACTCAAGAAAACAACGAGTAATACAAGATAACACCCCTATAATATTTAGACCACTTGTGTGTGTATATATAACCAAGGATCTATCAAAACCCGGAATGAGGATAAGAGGAACCCCCGAAATGAAAATATCCGGAGGAATCTTGGTCGTCTTCTTGCCTCCAAGATCCACCGGAAGATGAAGATCCCATACCTGTGGTTGTAGTTGTAGAAGGTAACATAGAAAATCCGCCGTTAGGGGAACTGTAACTCGATGTATCGATGGTATTTCCGCCTTGATCATGATGGTAATAGTACTGTTCGTAAGAAGACATCGTGTTTGAGGTATCAATATGTGGATTGGAAGAACAAGAATGGTCATAATAACCCGAGTTTGGAGTAACCACTGTTCCAAACTGAACCCTTTCAGGGAAATTGAGTTTGGCTTTGCTTCCTTTGAACCGAAGAGCCGCCTCATCATAAGCTAAGGCAGCGGCCTCGGCAGTGTCAAACGTCCCAAGCCACACACGAGCCGCCTTTTGTGGGTCACGAATCTCGGCTGCCCATTTTCCCCATGGTCTTTGTCTTACTCCTCTATACTGCTGTCTCCTCCTCAAGTTACCTTCTTAATCCAAAAAACAAATTGCATCAATAACCTTTTTTACATCTCTAGATTTACATTTTTACACACACTTCCCTTGCTTTACACATTATTGGCTTCATTGTATATATATATATATATGCGTGCGTGTGTATGTAAAGTTTATGCTGAACCTAGATGTACTTATTATATACAATTATATGAATATAAAGAGCTTGAATTCAATAATATCTCCTAAGTTCTAGCCATCAAAAACCAATCCTATAACTTGAACAATAGCTCTACCTCAACACCACAAAAAAAGAAGAAAAAAAAAAACACAACAAGAAGATGGAGATTTACTATAGAAACTAAGAAACAATCATATATATATACATAAGGGTATATACACATGCAAACACAAATATTTAAATATATATATACATATATACACACATATATGTGTATATATATATATATATATATAGAGAGAGAGAGAGAGAGAGGTATATAGATATACCTTGATCTTGAGCAGGTGCAACGGGTGGTGGTTGAGAATGGTATTGTGGATCATAAACAGAAGTCTGATGATTTGGATAAATATGGTTAATGTTCTCATGAGAAGTGCTACTTTGGTCGGCGTTATTGCTTCCGATCACTTGGGTCAAGGCAGAGACCATGACACGAGTGTCGTGCTGAGATTGAGCCGAGAACACCGGAAATATGTTCTCGTCGTCGTCCGCTTCTTCCTTCTCCCACTCATCCGTTCGAAACGGCCTTTTCCCTTCCATTCTTTGTATGCAAGAATCTCGGGTTTAATTAGGGTTTTTGGGTGAAGCAGAGATGTTCTTTTATGGCGTGTTTTTTGTGTGTCGAGAATATGTGAGGAGAGAAACGAAAAGATCGATTGTAGGGTTTTGGGGAATGTTGGAGCTTTTTATAGGAAAGAATGTTTGTGTATGAACATATGACAAAATGTAAAAACTACGTCCCCACAACGTTTTGTGTATTTCCCCCTTTTTTTTATTTTCTTTATTTTTTAGGTTTATTTCAAAATATGGATATTTGATTCAAAGTGTGAAGAAAAATAGAGATATTTTAATTTTCTCGCGCAAAAGCCGTGAAAGAAGAAATTGGATGTAGTTACTTGAATTTTAATTAACTGTCCAAGTACTATATATTTTACTTTTGAGATCGAATATCTATATACATTTATCCATATATATATATATACACACACACACACTCTCTTGATGTGTGTTTGTGTTCTTGTTCCTGATCTGGGTAACCAATGTGGAACCAAAAGGAAAATTAAAGAAAAAAAAGTTATTTTCGGGAATGGAACCAAACGTGTGATAAGAATAAGATAAGAAATGGATACTTAAAAGCTAAAGAAAAGAACGAAATAAATAAGTAAATAAATATGAACACTAGAAAGATGCCAATGAAAAAGATATATACCATGGAAAAAGGAAATATGCATGCATGATGGTACATGTTTTGTTTTACTAATTTGTTAGGCATGCATGCTTTTTTAATTTATAAACCGACATTTAAAAAAAAATAACGAGTCGGCCCAAGTGTGAAGGGGAATGTACGAACCGATAATAGATATTAAAATTCGTAAAAAAAAATAAACCTAGTTTCAAAATATTTAATGAGTTTCTCCATATATTATTTTATATTTATCAGATAAATAGAACTATCATAATATCACATGAATAATCAAGTTGATGGAATAATTCAATGAAACCCATCAACCTACAACGCTACAATAAATAAGTGCACAATATTAATGGCTTTCATAAACAGTTGGGATTTTTTTTATTCACACACACACACACATATATATATATATATATATATATAATATGGTTGAGGGTGTCTTTGTGAATTAGAGGTATAAATAAATTCCATTAATAGAAAAAAAAGGGGTGTGGAAACCGAGTGGATGCGTTTTGTGGGGTTTGGTTCAGTATGGACACACGTGGGACAAAGTCGGTTACCGGCGAAATCACTACTCTTTCGAAACGTGTTTTATTGCACGTGTGCATTTTCTTGCCTAGTTTTGTTAATTAAAAATCATATTAATTAATTACGCAATAATGTAGGAGGAAGGGAAACTACGTCGCATCACCTGATTCTGTAGATTCACGCGTTGTTGCCCAATCGGCAATCGCAGTGCTTCCTTTAATTTATTGGGATGGACATGTTTTGGACTAAACAACACTCCTGTGCTTTTTGCAACAAAGTCTTATACAGTACACATATATATATATATATGTATGTCTGTATAGACGGGTTTTTTTTTTGTATTGAATAAGTCAACAGGTGAAATAGTTGACCACTAAAAATATCTTTGAAAATAGGAGGAAAGACAAGGGACGGGGCAAACCAAACTTAGCGTATGTTGAATCAACACTTTGAATCGGTCGTTTGTACATCACGATATATATATATATATATATATATATATATATCACTGATAATGCGTACAGAAAAAACCTGTTTTCATTTAGTATCATGATCAAAAAATAGAAAAACTATCCGTGAAGAAAATTTCTGTCCGTTGACCTTCCAATCAGAAAAAAAAACGACAGCCGTAGAAACCGGCAGCTCGG